GAAGGTAAGACTCGATGCCCTCGCATTGTCCCGCGTGCGCCGCCGTCGTCTCATTGGATCTTCCGTCCCGCAGCGACGGATGGGCGACTGTCGCGCTTTGTCGAGCTGCCCTCCACGGGCGCCGACTCGACCGAAGCAGCTGCGCAGAGGAGCGCGCCACCGAAACGAAGCGCAAAGCACGGCCTCGTCGGCGGCGAGTTGCGCAACGGGCCCTCCAAGCGAGGCGAAACTCTCGCGCGCCGCGGCAGATTAGCAGCTGGTGTATTTACGAGCGGCTCGGGGTTGAATTATGCGCGACCGATAGCGCGAGCCGCTCGACCGGCTTTCTCTCTCGCGCAGGAGCGATAGATTTCACCCAGAAATCGCTGCGCGCGTAGCCTTTTCTGCCACTCCCGGTCCGCGCCAGTCACGTCTATCGAGCAAGTGGCTGTCAGGACGCTCGAGCGACGCCGAAACAACAGCGCTCCCGTGTCGCTGCCAGTCGTCGCTGTACGCACCGGACGGACAGATATCCGGCGTGAGTCGCTTTGGAAAGGCAGTAGCCGCGAGGTATGCGGCTCCGAGCGAGGCCGACGTCAAGGAGCAAGGCATTGCGTGCCGAGCAGTGGAGAATCGGCGTGGCTCTCGACCGCGAGACGCTAAATATCGACGCCCGCTGCCGACGCGGCGACGCAATTAGACGCCGATCGCAGCCTCAAAACTTGCACCGAATAGGCCTGACGAGCGCGCGGCCTCGGCATTCGCATGATTGATCGGTGCGCGTCGCCGTTGCAATCGTGGCGCAATCGCATCCGGGCGTGGGCGAGTTTGGCCAAATGGGCATTCGCACTTGCGCGACGGCACGACGACTCGAGCGGCGGTGAGTCGGTCGGGAACGTCGGGAACGTCGGGAACGTCGAAATCGAGATTCGAGCTCGCCCCTGTGGCCCGCGGAGCGGCAGAGCGCTGTCGTATCGACTGCACCGACCCATGCGCACCGCCGTTGTGCAGGAAAAAAGTAAACAAGAAGCAGCTGAGCAGCTCCCTCTGCTGCGCGAAATCGTAAGCAACGCTGCCCGCGCGAGAGAGAAAAAAATTCGCGCCCTTGAGTTGCTTCCCTCTCTCTTTCTCCAGTGTCCACCTGACGCAGCGCTAGTTTTCGCTCGCGCGCGCGTGCCCGTTTGGAAGCGCGCTGCGGTTGCATGATTCACGATCGCCGCGGCCGATGATTCACGGAGCTTTTTGCGAAATGGACGATGCTGGCATTTCGCTTGGCGCCAAAACTGCGCCTCGCGAGTGTCGGCGAGGGTCTGCGGTCGCGCGCGCGCTGCTGCAACGGCGCGTTATCGCGTTCTCGAGAGCTCACACGCCAATCCGACCACCGTGCGCATCATGTAGCTGCGAGTTAAGTAGCCCATTATTGCACGGCGTGCTATTAGCGCCCGAGCGCAACCGAGAAAGCAAGTTGGCCGGCGGCCAATTCTTTGCACACTTGGCTCGCGTCGCGCTGGATTCCAACCGGCGACCAGCGGCCAAAACTCGTTTCGCCGCGCTGCTATATCAGATTGCCAATTGTGAACGCTAATACGCGACGATTGCAAGATAAGGGAAAAAGTGTTTGCACATTCGCAGCAGCAACGAAAGCGCCGCGTCAAAGCGCCCTCCCTTTCAATTACAACCTCCCTCCACAAATCCGCACGCGCTCCCAAGTTCCGTCATGCGTGTTCTCCGGCTTGTTTACCAAATAATCGTAGCGCAACGAGGATTACGGCGAGGCGTCGACGGTACGCCTCGCTATTAGCCTCCTTGTCAATCCGACCACCACGCCACGACCAGCGGCGTCTAATGCGACTTTCGAATTCGCGTGCCCCGCAAGACAATAACTGCGATAAGGTTGATTGCCTGTGTGTGCGGCGATAAAAGAAAGGAAGGAAAGGAACTGCCGACAATCGACGCTTGTTCTCCGTTCGCTCTCCTCGTGGCGTGGACGCGCATTATAATCCGACCAGTGTGCAAGATCAAAGGGCTTTGATAGGCAGCCCGCCACAGACGCGACGTGGGCCGGGAAAACAAACTCGGCTGTTATATTGCCGAGGCCGCGCGCGTTCGGCTTCCTCGCGCTCGCCGATATCCGACGCCGCGCCGACGAGAGGCGACGCGAGGACGCGTTGCAATTGAAAAAGAGGCTCGGGTGCGATTAATCGCCCTCCGGAAGTGCCTTGTGAAGCGCAACAATTGGCGCCGAGTCCACCCGCGGCACTTTTTGCGCAAGACCTTCCGGCCCAATTGGCGGATCAATTTGCGGACGCGATGGCCTGCGAGTTTCCGCGACGATCGATCGTCCGGCACAGCTCGGATTCTTCGCCCGCGAGCAGCGCGACGAAAGAAACTTCGGCGAATCGCGTGCCGCCGAGTTGGCCGTGCCGAAGCGAAGAAATGCCGCCGAGCGATTTGCACGTCGCAGGAGCGGCGAGCAGCCTCGGCAATCGCGATGCACGGCTGGCGACTCGAGCTTGTCGGCCCGATCCGCGAACGACACGAGTTGCTCTTACGCGCTCGATTGAATCTCGCTCTCGCTCCGGCCGATTCGAAAATCCCTCGGCGCACAAAGAGACACACGCGTCTAGCCCTCGCGCGGTTTGCTATCGCGAAAGGCTAATTGAGGAAACATTCGTCACGCGCCGTTGGACTGCTTCCAAAAAACCGGCCGGCTTTCCATTCAAGCTCAGCATTCGGAAAATGCCGTTCTAACAAATTACCGGAATTTCGAGCTTAAAATCTCTCTTCGTGGTCCACACCGAGTCTATCTCCGATTGGAGCTTCTCCTCCCCCTAAATTCCGACTTTCTGTTCTCTCTCTCTCTCTCTCTCTCTCTCTCTCTCTCTCTCTCTCTCTCTCTCTCTCTCTCTCTCTCTCTCTCTCTCTCTCTCTCTCTCAACTGGCGCAAATTACTATTTCCGCCGTTCGACTCCGAAATTCATTGAGCGATGCGGTTGAGAGTATGCTGATCTATCGTAAGATGCTGCCGTGGCGAGCGAAATAAAAAAAAATTGATAAACACGGCACCCAAGACGAGCCCAATTGCTTTAACAGCGTTAATTATCCGCGCGGGTATGTTGCCCGTATATTTGGGTTAATGAAGCGATCCTCGATAAGCCGACAAGCAGGCGTAGTTCTTTTTTTATCCTCAGGTGAAAGCTCGCTTCTTATCTTTACGGAGGAGCAACGGCAAAAACAAGTGTCGTCGTTCGAGATTTTCGTATGTTTCACGAGAATGATGCCACGACACATGCGGACTCTGGTCGTGCACGTGTGTATTTTCTATTCAAGACACAGTATTCATCGTCGGAAATAGAGTTGCTTCGTGTAAAGAACGAAAAAAAAAAAAAATAAAATAAACAAACAGATAGGAAAAATAAAGCGAAGTAGGACGTAGTCACACTGGTTAATACTCGTCTTTCGGATAGGTGCTGCAATAAGGCTTTAAATGTTCCGAAGAAACTGTTTTCACGCACGACGATATTCCCTTCGAAAAATGTCTATTTTTCGACTGCAAGAAAAGTACAAGATTTTCCCACGGTGAGTGGATTGCAATCGATCCAGCCGTGCCGTTTAATTAGCATGCGTAGAAAGCACGCAGTGGGTGTACACTAGTTTTTACAGCAGGGCGAGCGAAGCGTCTAATTCCCGTGCACGAGCTGCGAGGTTCTACACGAATAGACTCTCTAAAAATACAGCCAGCGACGACGCGAGAGCGAAACACTACCACACGCGGTTGCTTCGCAACGAGACATAACATCACACAACGCCGTTCCACCAATTAATTCGATGACCATCGTTCTCTGCTTCTCTTTCTCTCTTCTCCTCTCTCTCCTCCGGTCGTAGCCAGGAATCGGAAAGATATATTTTTCCTGAAACGCAGCAGAATATATGCGCGCATAAAGTCGAACACACTAATGCAAACATCAGCGCGAATGGATTCTAATCACGAGAGAGAGAGAGAGAGAGAGAGAGAGTCAGTTACGGGATCAACGATCCATCGCGTCTGCGCGGAACGAAGAGAGAAAAAAAAAGGAATCGTGCAGCTGCTCTCTTACTGCGGCTATTATGTACACCGAAGCAGCGCAACGCCAGCCGGCCGATGTTGCGCCTTTCCTCCCGTGACAAGAAAAAAGCTCTTTGCCGATATTTTAAGGTTATCGCTCGTTTCGCTCGATTGGAGAATTGAAAAATTTAAGCCACGCACGCAAGGACTGATGTTTACCAATTGTACGAAAGGTTTTTCGTGAAGCCGAACGTCATTCTTCAAAAGTGTACGCACTCATGTAGACACATTGAAAAAGGAATCCCGTCAATCTCGAGGAGATGGTAAACAAACTCCTTCAACCATTTTTCACGGCGTAAATTAGAAAGTGAATTCGTTGTATATACAAGCGAACAGATAGATATCGGCGCTCAAGCGCAAGGTGTAACTGAAAATAATCTTGCGTGGAAATGTAGAAGAAAAATGTGACATATTATCTATGTATCGGTTTCGTATCAACATCACGTACGAACACAAAATTTGCGCCGTTTGACACTCGCACGCAACATATACACAGGCACACGTAGGTATGCACTATTGAAAGAGTTGAGTGCAACGAACGCGCGCGCGCGAGCGAACGAGAGAGAGATTCATAGTCTCGCTACAAGAGAGCGATCGAGTAACGGCTATCCATCTCTCTCTCACTCTCTCGAGGTACATCGACCTTCTCGTTGCACAAACACATACAATTAAACGCACACCATACACGGTACGTATTGATTCGTAAAATTAGCTGACACGAAAGTCAAGTTCATCGCACTAATTGTTTATCTAAATCACACAACTGGAACGAGGAAGACGTTCGCAGAGGTCCACCTGCATCCATAGGCATGCAGCAGCAACAGCGCCATTGTAAGGGGGGAGCGGGGGGGGGGGGGGGGGGGGGGGAGAACACAATGGCGCAACAAGTGAGAGATGCACGAACGAACACACTTACACTTGATGAGGACGACCCCGTTGTGCTGGAGCTCCTCCATGCTGCGCTCGCGGCTTTTGGGGAAGGCGATTGCCCCCGCCAGTTTAACTGAGTTCACTCACTTGGGCTTGCACTTTTTCTACGCGAGACCAGCGTCGGCAATGAGACGCTCGCAAAGTTTAACGAGAGAAATGCAGAGCGTGGCAGCCGGTGCCGGTAACATGGCGCTGTAGTGTATTGATATACGAGCAAAAGAACTAACGCTGTGACCACGGCTACGTTCGGCTTCATACTGAGCCGAGTGTGTTGTATACAGCGGCTTTGCCTGCCTTCTTTCTCTCCTCGTTCGCTTTTGCTCTCTCTCTCTCTCTCTCTCTCTCCCTCTCGGCCCCTTCTACGCTATACTACACACGTATACCGAGCGTCCGCGCTCTCTTTCTCTCGGTCTGTCGCTGTGTTGTACAGTTGCTCGGTGTTGTATGTTTGATCGATCATAGTTCGCGCAAAAAAAAAACAATAACACAAGCCTCCGTAGCAACCATTGATACTGCAGTAGATATACCTACATTGAAATGTGACAAAAAAAGGGCATACGAGATATGCAGTTAAAGGTTGGAACATTGCGAGAGAAAGACACTGTGTTGGGAGCATGCTAACGAGGCTCGCGGATAAACATTGTTATCTTTCTCCGTGTCTTGCATGCTGTGAAATTTTCGCAGGAGAGAAAGAGAGATTTATCGCGGGTAGCCGAGAGTTTGAGAAAAGGAGAAAAGAGTTAGGCGCGATAGTACGTATCCGACGACGAGCATACCGATGTAGCAGCGGCAGCAGCAGGAGAGCTACGAGAGAGAAAAAGGAGGAGAGGGAGCGAACGAAGCAGCAGCAGCATGGGCAGGGCCGGATGAAACGGATGCGAGCCTGCCTATGGCGTTATAACAATGCATTGCAGTGACACGGAATAGTGCAGATATTTCGAATGCGTCTTTTCTCTCTCTTTCTCGTATAACTATATTCTGACGTTACTTACGGTAGGCAGCGGTCGGCGACGTACCTGCAACGAAGAAAGCAACATCGTTGCATCAGCCGTCGTGCGTTGGAGAATATGGTCAATCTCCTTGATTCGAGTGGATAAAGTTGGGCAAGTCGCCGAGGAGCGAGCTAATTTTTGCAAAAATAGCGAGCGCTCGAAAAGTTACGCGAAATTTCTCGCGCATATGTGGCGCGCGCTCAAGAGAGAGAGAGAGAATTCTCGGAGAGAGAGAAGATATCGCATATCACTATGCGATGCCGCATGCCGCAACGACAACGAAGGATTAGCGCTTCTTCGCTGCCTGTCAAGGGACGGAGCGATCGGTAAAGCGTAATCTCCCTGCGGCCGCGTGGCAAAGAAGGCAGAGAGCGCCTCCCGCGCCATCAACTCCGAAACTGTCGCGTGGGGGAAAGACGTCGCCGACCTCTTGGAGTCACGAAGACCACCTTGGCGGGGTCCGCGCGCGCGCTCACGCGTCCACGGATCATTGTTCGCGGGCCAGGAGGAAAAGAGAGAAGAGAGAGAGAGAGAGAGAGAGAGAGAGGAGAGAGAGAGAGAGAGAGAGAGAGAGAAAATTCTCGGACTGGTCGGCATTGTGCGCGCGCTGTAGCCACACACGCGCGCGCACACGGAGCACAAAAGTTCGCGTCCGCGCGCAGCATCAGCCTGCGGGGACATGCGACCGATCCTCGTCCAGCCGTCCCTCCTTCCCTCCCGCGCCGCGATACCAACCTAGGCGATCCCTTTGTCGCGCGCTCCGTTCGCTCACCCCCACTGACTATACTGCGTATCCGCCTTTTTCCCGATCCCCGACGACATCTGTCGACGTCGTCACAGTGGCACAGCTGCCGACGACTCTGGGAGTACAGTTGAACGGCCCGATCCCCGGCCTGCGATCCAGTAGCGCTCGAATACGCCGCCCAGCGATCGGCGCGAGGCAGGAGCCGTCGATGCGATCCGAGAGGCGCCTATTCCTGGGATGCGATGTGCTCTCACATACAAAGCACTACCTGCGCGTGTCTCGATTAACCCGTGACCCAATAAATCAGTCGCAAAGGCAAAGAGAGGCAGTAGCCGCGGCGCTGGCAGAGGCCGGATACGCGAGCGCACGGGCTCTTTAAAGGGAGAAGGCCGCGGGTTCTCGGAAACGCCCGTCCAGCCGGTCCGTGCTCGCACCTGCGTCAAGTACCGCTCTACGAATCCCGAGACCCTGCTCTTCCTCGTCTCTTGTTGCCAACTTGGCACTGTACTCCGCTCGCGGTTGATCGCGCTGCGCGAAAATCAGCGGACGAAGAGCGCACGGTTCTCTGGCGCTCGTGAGTCGCAGCCTCCCGCGAGACGGGCCGAAACCCGATGCGTCGAGGAACCACCCCGCCTCGCCATACCTCTCCGCGGCGGCGGTCAAACGTTCCTCGCGTCACTATGCGGAGAACAATGAACTTGGCGCGCCGCGTCGGCCAGTGATCCGCGAGGAGCGACGAGGGTAGGCAAAGACAGAAAGACAAACGGTCGGTAAGCGCGAGCTCCCCGCCTAGTCGACGGTCGCTCGACTGTAGCTTCGGTTCGGTTGGCCGAGATGGCGCGGCCAGGCCGTCCGCTCGGTCCGTCGCTGGCGCGCTACCAGAATCGCAACTGCACATTCGGCGAGTTTTCCCAACGGGGAAAACTCGCGTGCAAAGAGTCGCTCTCAGTGCACACTCGGTGGACTCCTCGAGAACATGTGGCGCTCACGATGACGAGCAGCTTGCAGCAGCAGCAGCACGCCGCCAAGTTCCGATGTGAGTCTCGCACTGTTTTCTCTGGCGATTCGAGGGAAGCGTCTCCACTTGTGCTGCAATTGCGGCGCAACTGGTTGATCGTTCGTTTAAACGATTGCTAATCAAGCGTGCTCTCTTTCCGAAACATCCGCGCGCGTCCAACGTTGCCGTTATCTCGAAACGTTTGTACGCAGGGACGGAAAGGCTCACCTGGCGTTTTATCCAACTGAGACGGGAGCATGCCAAGATGTTCACCGGTCGCAAGTACTCGGCGCAGCAAGGCTGGGAGTGAGTATATAAATCACGCGCGCGCACGCTGCGAAGCACGCGCACGAGCATCGAGCGTCTCTCCTCCCTCTCTCTCCCCCTCTCTCTCTCTCTCTCTCGCTCACTCTCGCTCTCCTCGTGTAAGCTCAACTTTTCGATTAGGTCGCGATGATTAACGAACTTGGCGTGTCTTCGGGAAATCTCGCGCCACAGGCCAACGCCGACGCGTCGGCGTCGCCAGTACTCGTCCGTCGATCAGGAAATTTTCGCAAATATGTCAATTTCGCGCGGGACATTCAGTGAAACGGCTCTTGGGTCGGTCGACGCGCGCGAATCAATCACACGCGCATCATTACCGCGACGAGAAACGTCTATACTGTACTCGCGCCGACGATCAATTACGAAACAGCGCCGTCGAGTGGAGATTTCGAAGCGAAGGAGAAGGATGGCTCTATCCATCTACGCTACTTTAACGCGTCGTCGCGTGTTTTATAGCGGCGATAAAATTGGAAATTTATCGATTTGGCAAGCGGCTTTTCCTTCGCATTACAATGTGCCAAGTTATCGCGCGCGGCCTTGGATGAGTTCTTCGACAATAAGAGCGGCACGACTCGCGTATTGCTTTTTCTTCTTTTCATTCCTTTTTTATCTCTGCAGCCAAGTATTTTTCACACTCTGCCGCTAAAGCCGTAAAAAGGAGCGTGCGTGCGCGCGCGCGCGCGTTTTGTTTTTATTCGTTCGCACGCGTGCACCTTCGAATAATGAATCGAGGCGTAATGTCGCGGCGGCTCGCTTCGCCTCGGCCGTGCGCGAGCCGCAAACAAGCTGGCGAGACGCGATGTTTTAATCGAGCGCGAGAAAAAGAAAGGGTCGATGGTGAAACGACGACGCACGTGCAAGAGGGAGAAGAAATTAGTCCTCGTAATGGATTGGACGAGGCGAGAAGGGAGAGGAGAAGAAGCCAGGTAGCAGTGATTCCCTCATTAGCGCTCCGCGACGCGGCCTCGCAGCGAGGAGACGACGAGCGATTTATTTCGAGAGCAGATCTGTCTCGCTCCATTTCGCGCGACGCGCCTTACCGCCTCCTGCTCCCCCGCTTCTCCCGTAGCTTCTCCCGTAGCTCCTCCCGTAGCTTCTCCCGTAGCTCGCGGGGAGCGGGGCGTCGGCTGTTTTCGGCTTATTTTCGCGGCTAATTGGGCAAAAATTTGAGAGCGCCGCTTTATCAGCGCGCCACGCGGCTTTCACGCGCACGAGTGCGGCTCGCGCCGGGCTCTCTTAATTAAGCTGCGAGCGCCGCGCGGACGCTTTAAATTTATCGATTTATCAAGAGGGCTCGTCGCGCTTCGTTGCCCCGGTTTATCATTGCAATTATTCGCGCTGCTTGTCAATCGGGAACCGCCTCCGATTCTCTCAAATCGCTGAGCGGCGCTGCTCCGCGGGCCGATCGCCGCGATCTTCCCACGCGATATTCCTAGGCGCAGTCAATTGTGACCGCACGCGTGCATCGAGGGCCGCGCGGCCAAGCGCTCGAACGCCTACGCCGCCGATGCCTGCGCGAGTCTTGCGCAACGACGCTTTCGCGACGACGGCGTCGTACTTGTATTCTCGTTCGCTCGGTCGGCGGGTTCATTCGAGGGCTCGTTAGCCGCGACGAGGCTCGGGCGAAACGGGGGCTGGCGGAGCGAGCGAACGAACGAACGATTTGAGATATCCAACTTGTCGCTACATCGTTCTGGTGCCTGTCCAAAGATACATTCTAAGCCAGATGAGGCAAGAATCGCCGGCCGTTATGGGTGACGTTCACTATCGGGTGCTCAAGAAGAAATGGTCCAACTTACTGCAGCAATATAAAGTGAGTACAAAGCCGATTGATCGTTATTACACAAGTCTGGGTGGGCTGTCAAAGCCCCTCTGCGGTCGCTCCTTTCATGCGTCCCGTCGCAGCAAGGTTAACGAAATCGAATAACGAGAGGCAAAGTTATCAATCGCTAATTGGCATCGCTTCGCCCACTGCTCTCCCAAGCCGTTGCGCGACCAACGTTCGCGGCCCGCGAGATGGCCGCAAAGCGAATAATCTATTTGAGCGCGCGCGGAATATTCGGGGAATGCCGTGCGCGCTCCGATAGCGATTTTTCTGACTCGCGCGCGTACGCCGAAGCGAGTTTTTCCGCGGATTGGGTTGACGGCTGTGTAGGCTGGTTAAAGCTGCGGTCAACTGCACCGAGCAAGCGAGTCTTAAGTGGCTCGTTAACTCGAAAGCGCCGCATTTAAAGACAAAAAAAAAAGCGCATGCAGCGCCAGCGAAAAACAAGAGACGTCTGCGAAGGCGCGGCGCCTTTATTTTTCAATTCCCATAACTTTCAACAAATCATCTTTCTCGGCTTTACACGGCGATGTCGGGCCGCTCGCAATTACTTCAGTGCCCGCTTGACCCTTTAACGTGCGTCTATTACATTCTGTATGAGACGCCTTTACGCTCTGTCTTGGCCGTCGCGCTGGGTACAATAATCACGAGACACAGTTGACGCAAACAATCGTTAATTCATGGTCGTCGCCTATCAATTTCGTCCCAGATACGCGTCAATCGAGGACGCTCACGCGAGCTTCAGTGTCAGACCCAGCGTGCCGTATTCCGTGCGCCAATGGATTCGCGACGCTTCGGCAGAACCGAAATAATATTCGGAGAGCGCGGGATAAAGATTGCAATTTTGTGTTTGCGACAACAAGGAGCTGAGAAATCCGGTGCACGGTGACAAGAATCGCGCGGACGACATATCCTGGCCATTCTACCGTGCGATCGACGAGGTCATCGCCAGTCTGAGCCCGTCGGCCAACAACTCGCGCCGTCGCGGCGCCGCCAGCTGCATAAACGACAACTATCGCCGCGTGCAAAATGAATGAGAAGGAGGATGAGCAAGAAGACGGGGAGGACGGAAAGGAGGTAGATGAAGGAGGAAGAGGAGGAGGAGGGAGGAGGAGGATGAGGAGGAGGAGGACGGCGACTACGACGACGATCTAGAATCCCCAGGAGTTTCTGTGCGTCTCGGTGTCTCCCGACGACGTCGCCACGACGATCGATTGCGAGCGGCTCGAAGCACGCTCGGACGAAGACTTGGAGGTCGACGGGCAGCCGAGGTACGCAGCATCACGACTCTCCCCGATTCGAGTCGCGCGGCCTTTGTGCACTAACTAATGTCTGTTTAATTAACATGGCATCGCTGGTCCGAGAAAGTCCGAGAAAGCAACGCTGTTTCGGGGGAGGGCCTGGGAGGGGCGAGCGCAACTTTGCGGCGTCGCGTCTTTGTTACGCCCTGGTATTCCCTGCGCGCCGCGGCTGTACGTACAACGCGCTCGGCTCAAAATGCAGATACTTCTTCAACGTCGAGTTTGCCGCCCGCCGCGTACGTATGAAAGGCGCAACGAATTCCACTCTGCACGCGAGCGGCGAAAATTCCGTAGATGTTGCGCGCTAGGAGAAAGGAAGCAAACGCGCGCGGCAAGGCCTCTTCGCGAATTCGCGTCGATATACGCGTCCGATCGGACGCGGCGAAACGTAGCCGGCTAGCTGTTAATAAATCCCGCTTGAGAGAGAGAGGAAGCTCGAGCGTCGGCGCGCGGCGTGTCGTGAAAAAACAAATGTCACGCGAGAGAGCGGGCATATTTCATATTTACGCGGCGAAATTTTTACGCGAAAACAAAGTACGTACACGTAATACGCGAGCATTAAAGTGCGAGAGGGGGAGGGTGCTCACCATTTCGCTACGACAAAGCTCGCATGCGACGGCAGTACAGCAGCTCGAGTCGTAAATCAACGGGTGGAATAGTGCCTCGCGGCGGTGCTATACGATGCGAATGCCGCAAAGCTCGCGGTGGCGACACTTATCCCCCCCCTCTCCGGACGACTTCCCGAGCGATAGGCGAAAGTCGTCGGCGGTTGGCTCATTGCGCCTCGTCGGTAATCGTTGGCGTTCTGCCGACAGGGATTCGCTGCTGCTGTCGCGGTTGCCACGCGCCACCCAGCTGACGATCGGCAGACCGGCCGCGCCGGTCAAGAGAAAGAACAGCCCCGAAAGGTCGCGGGCTGGAGTCGAGCCGGAGAACGGCGGAGCGACGGCGCGGAAGAGTCGCAGGCGGGAGGACGGCCTCGAGAGGAGGATCGTCGAGTTCATGGAGTACACCAAGAGGAGGGACGAGGAGAATAGGAGCATTTCTTAGGAGGATGCTACGAGGCTCTACAAGATATTAGAATGCTCTCAGATAAAGCGCAGCGTCACTGACGTCACGCTTCTCGCCAGCGAGATATTAATAATGGAGTACTATTTGCGCCCGCTCCGCTCAGTTTGCCTTGCTCTACAAGCGACGAGGAGGAAAGTATTCGGAAGGTCCCGATGTGGAAATCTCGAGGATCACAAGCCAATCGAGATCGCAGGCATTTGATAATTACACGTGTGCGTGTTTGTACAGTTCGCAAAGCGATCATTAAATCACTTCTATCCCAATTGTATCAACATCAATCTCACGATTGCCGCAACTCTTTCTCTCTCTCTCTCTCTCTCTCTCTCATCTCTCTCTCTCTCTCTCTCTCTCTCTCTCTCTCCATCTCCTCTCTCTCTCTCTCCTCTCTCTCCTCCCTCTCTCTCTCTCTCCTCTCTCTCTCATCTCTCCTCTCTCCCTCTCTCTCTCCCTCTCTCTCCCTCTCTCTCTCTCTCTCTCTGCCGGCAAAACTTAGATTAACCCAGCGGATAAGTCAGCCACTTACGGCGCTTCGCGCCGAAAAGTTTTCGCGCAAAGAGCCATTGGCAATAAAGCAAGCGGCCGAGAGTAAAAAAGAACTCCGCGTGTAAATACATCGACTCGCAGTCTCGCGTTCTCGCGCCCTTGTAAATCGCACGAATAAAAGAAGAGGGAAGAAACTCGATCCAATCTCTCTTTCTCGCTCTCTCTCTCTCTCTCTCTCTCTCTCTCCTCTCTCTCTCTCATCTCTCTCTCTCTCTCTTCTTGGCCAGCCATTAGTGGAAACAAAGCTCGCGCATGAAGCAAAAACAATATCGTTGCGGGCGATATAATCTCTCCCAAATGAGGCTCCTGCCAAACGCGAGAGAGAAACTATCAGAAAGAAAATAGCTGCTGGAAGACAAGTGTGGTGCGTGTGCGCGTGCGTGTGTAGGGGTTTGTTCTCCTCTCTAGCTCCCGTATTTTCTTTCCCGAAGAAATCGGATATCGTCCGCGAGAGGGCATTTCTCTCTCTCTCTCTCTCTCTCTCTCTCTCCCTCTCTCTCTTTCCACGACGCCGGAAGTATGAGCTCAAACCGCGACGACAGTTTAAAGAGAGCGCGCCAAACACACGCCCGCCGATTTTTGAGATTCATCTCATTTTTATCCGGGAAGGATGATGCAACTTCTTCCTGGCGCGCGCGATCGTTTGGGAGCTGCGCGTTGCCTTTGGTTGACCGCGTTGACAAGCTGGCAGGTGTTTACGGCATGAATTGCTCTACCTCCTCGTCCGAGCCTTTTTCTCTTTGCGCTGAAAACGTCGTGAGGTCGTACTTTGGGCATCGATTTTCATCCGACGCTTTCGCCGGAAGTATACACCAAATGCGCGCATTTTCAATTGAGAGAAGACCAGCCAATGCACAAAAGGGAAGCCCCATTCGTCGTTGCGCGATGATAAATGTGCATTCAATTCCGACGAGGCAATCACGCGTGCGTCTAGGTCCACCCCTCCGCCCCGCGCTGCTCAGTCCCCAAGACCGAAAGGCTTGCTACCGAAACAGAAGAAAAAATGGAAAACGCCTGCGTTAAACACTCGCAATCATTGAATGCGCTTATCGATGCGATTAATTGACGCGCGAACGTGCGTCCCTCGTGCCATTCCCTCTCGCCCGCATACGCCCAACTCGTACGCACGTACATCGACCATTCATACTTCAACGAAATTTAAATGAATGAACGCGACGTGCCTAATGAGCGCGCGCTCCATATGTTGAGACCGTAGTCGCGTACTCTTTCGATCGGAATCTATAGGATCAATGCCAGTCAAAGCCGAGTGTGTGAATTAGTGACGGAATAAACAAATAGAAAAAGAGTGAAAAAAAGACCTAGCAGGTGCTCGTTAATCATCAAGTTTATCACTGAAAACAAAAGACAGAGAGATAGAGAGAGAGAGACTCGTCACGCGAGAGCGCAATTGATCAAAGCTCGACGAGTAGAGTTGAAACGCAGCAACAGCAGCAGCAGCAGCAGCAGCAACGTTTGGTCTCTAATGAAATTTTTCGAGCCGACACTTGCCTGCAGGACACTCGATCCCGCGAGAGGCAGAGAGAGAGAGAGAGAGACAGAGACCGATGTTGACCTTGGTGGGGTGGGCGGGAGAGAGAGCGAGAGCGAGAGCTGCTGCAGTGTTTGGCTGAGATAACCGGGGCGCTGCTGCCGCCGATTGTCAGAGAATAATACAGCCGCCGCCGCAAGTCGTAAGTTCGTTCGCGCACAGCTTCGAGTGGATTTGTGTTTGACTTTTTCGACGGTAACTTCGCCAGCGAGTGAGAGAGAGAACTTTGCTCCAACGGCTTCCGTTTCGGGATTTATCTTTCGACGTGTGTCCATGTGTGTGCCCACCTACACACACATACCGCGCGGGGCTGCTTCGCGATGACTTTTTCGATTCTTCGGCAAACACACACTCGACGCTCGCGTAATTGACGCGCTCGCGAGGATGTGTTCAATTCTAGAGCGCGCGCACGCTCGCGCGAACCGATCGATAATTGTACTTTGCCATTGCACGCGAGAGATAACAATGGCACGAAAACGCTCAAGCCAGCAAAGAGGAGGGAGCATGAGAGAGAGAGAGGGGGAGAGGGAGAGAGAGAGAGAGAGAGAGAGAGAGAGAGCGCGCGGGGGATTTACCGCTCGCAGCGGCGATTTATGCGATGTGTGCTCGGGATTATAAACAATGCCAGAGTCAAAAGGATTAGAGGATAATGTTGCGAGGGACTCGCTACGAGAGAGCTTGTTTGCAATGCCCGGCGAATGGAAATCAATTGTCAAACACGCCTTTTCCAAAGTTTTACCAACGATCGGACTGGACGAACCACATACATTACGCGCGTCTGAAACTTAGAACGGAGCGAGCGCTAATTGAAAAGCCCCGCGACTTCGCGCCGCGGATATCGGTTTTACCGAGCCTGAAGGTTCGCGAATACGCATGAGAACCCATCGATCCCTCAAATGCCTTGTCGGGGCTTTATAGCCAGCTAATGAGCGAAGAATTCTTGGGCTTGCCAATCGCAGCCGCGTTTCTCGACCGTCGCTGCGAGAAAGACAATCTCCATCGACTGGACGTGTCCGCACTCGTCAAAACAACAATTTTCAGCCGACAATTCGGATCGGAGAAGGCCCAAAAAAATGTCTATTCTCAGGCAGCGCCACGCAGCACTCTTCATCCGGAGATAAAAAAAAATGGAAAAGAAATAAAAAGAAAGAAGCGATCCAAACAACGCCGCGTTTTTTCCAATAGTTCCTCGGCTCGATTGACGCGACAGCCACTCTTTTTTTAGGCAAAAGCATCGCCGTCTATCAATTACGTCACGCGTAGAGAGAGTCCGATAAGACTTGCGTACGTACGATCTCCGGTTCCATTAACCTTCCGCTGCATTGTCACGTCGCTCTCCGGCGCCAACGACGAGCTCGAGATAGATAGCCTTCCCGTCCTCCACCTCAGCCCCGTTTTTTCCCCGTCGCGATGGCTTTACGCTTTTATTCCTCCGAATGCCGTGTCCACGTCGCGATGAAATCAAACGATTTTCTTCCTTTTGTCTTCCCGCCGGATCTCAAACTATTAACGACGCCAGCTTAGAACGATCCAAGGAAACGCTAATCAGCCCGGCTGCTGCGAGAAGTAGGCTAACCGAAGCGTGTCGCTGCAATTGGCTTTGACGATTCGCGTCGAGCACTGAGAGACGAGATGGGAATGAATAATTTGCCAATCGCGAAAAAAAAAAACGCGCCGCTTCGGGTCGAAACGTCGCGGCTGCATAATTAATCGATCGGTGCCTTCGGCCGAAATAAGAGTGTGCGCGCGAGCCGCGTCCTGGAATAAATTCCGACTTTCGGCCGTCCGAAAATTATTGACCGACGCGAAGCAGCAGACGACGCCGACGCTGTCGCGGTGGTGATCCATCAAGAATCGCGGAACGGAAAAGGACGAAGGGGGACAAAAAGAGAGGCGAGAGCAAGAGCACCTTTTGAATTGAATCCGCTTGATTTGCAGGAGCAACCACACTGCACTTTTAACTCGCACACACCGTAACCAAACTGGCGCGAACGCGCGCGCGCGCGCGTCCGTCGGCCTGAAACGTACGACGCTTTCTCCCGAACTGCTGCCGCCGGCATAATTAATTTGCGCAGTTAGCGCAGTGCAGTGCTGCTCGCCGATAGCTAGGGTTATCGCGGCTCCGACAACTATACGCTACAGTCGCGGCGACAACCGGCTGCCGCAACTGCCGCTACTGCTGCTGTCTTTCGCTAGATTTATTCTCGTCGAAGGAGAAGTTACAATGTCGCTGCTGCTGCTGCTGCTGCTGCTGCTGCTGCTGCTGCTGCTGATAAAAGAGAGTCGCAATGGCGACCTTGCTCAGACGGAGTAGTTGTAGCTTTCTAATAAATGCGCCTCTTTGTCGCCGCGGACATATTGATGGCTCGGCGTGAGAAGCCTCCTTCGGACGATGACGATGACTCAGACTGATTCGCTCGCACGGGTGACATACACGCCAGCGATAAAGCTTCTTAATGGCCGAGAGAAGGAGATATAGATTTTTTTTCCGCGACGCCGACGCTCGATTGATTGCGATCGGTGATTCGGCGCGACTCTTTCTGAGAGGCTCTTTGTCCGCGCTCCTCGGAAAACTGGGGATATCGACTTGCCTCTTTTCGCGAGCCGGCCAATCGACGACGCATTTGCGCAAACAACTATCGGCGCGTGGCGGCAGTGCAGAAGAAGACCTACCGGCTTTCTGGCACGCGGAGGAGGACGCCAGACGCGCCGCCGAGTCCTGCAGTTGCTTCTTCCAGGCCTTTCCAGCCTTTCTTCCAAATCATCGCGGCCTTGGTCTTGCGACTGGAGTGCTGGCCAGCGAGCAGATGTCCGTTGGAGCTGCTGATCTCCGGCGTGCTCCGTGCGCGCCAATCCGCAGCGCCGTAACGAACCAATGGCCGGACCTGCTTGCGTTAGAAAGCGGGTTAAAGGATAGATAAGCAGGCGCGCATCGGGTGCGCACAGGTTGTAAGCTATATATAATAGACGTCCACGAGCGCCAAAGCCAAAAGGCAGAGAGAGAGAGAGAGAGAGAGAGAGAGAGAGAGAGAGAGAGAGAGAGAGAGAGCGGGATTAGAGGCTGCGGAGAGCTTATGTGTACCGCTCTCTGCCTTTGAGATGCGCACTCGTGATTGAAGCTCGCTGCTGCAGCCGGTTGAGCTATTAGACGCGAGGTTCGTACAT